AAAAAAAAAAAAAAAAAGAGAGAGAGAGAGAGAGAAAAGAATAACCCATAGTAGAATTAAAATAAAAATGCATCATCAACAATTTACTTGCATCATCAACCAGTTTAACCGGGAAAATAAATTCGCTTGTACACTAAATTCAATTGGTATAATAAATTCATTTGTATAAATCAGTATACTAAATAGTTTGCATACTATATTCAAACAAAAACCAAATTAAAAATGAAGGAGCTGAGTTTTAAATGACAGTTATCTCGGTTGTAGCATTAAGCTGAGTTACTTTGTAGCACTATGCTGTCATTACTGATATCACACGCATTTTTCTTTCCTTCTTTTGTGTTTTTCTATGGACAGTTTTGCTTTATGTTGAGGATAGTTTTCCGTAGGAATTTAGTAAACAAACTAACCTTTATTCTAGATTCAATTCGCTTAATCTGCAATCCGGCTAATCCTCCTCCGGTTAATAGGGAGTTGACTGTGTAGCAAAAAATAGAAGGTACTCAAAACTTTCTCTCTGCTGACTATATAGTCTGTTAAAGATATTTCAAGGTCTTCCACTGCCTCATTTGCGATCGTAGCATGTGTCGTGATCACTGCATAGTTCTTATTTTCTTCACCTCATCTGAGACTCAACAACAGTCAGCCTTCGTTCGCGTGCTTTCATGAAACTAAACTCGCTAAATGGAAATGAAGTGCATTTGTGTGTGTTGGGGGGGGGAGACAATTGAGGAGACTTGGCTATCTGCCACAACTATTGATTACGAGACAAGCTGGTCAGGAAAATTACATTGAATTGTCAATTTTAGAGTAACAGACTATCTATATTTTGATATAGCTATCTATATTTTGAGTTCTTCACCGTTCAATGAAGAAAACTAAGAGGAACTAATGGTCTATAAAACGTGTTGAAAAACATGATCAGGGAGGTTCCATTTCAGGAGTTGAAGTAGTGTTAGCACTGGAGGACTCGAACTGGGACTCGAGGTCCAACCTCTGTCGAAACTGATTGATTATTACGAAATACTGTATGGTCCAAATAACTGAGTGCCATGAAAAGTAAGTATTATATTCTGAGGGAAATTTTCACCCCCAATGGAGTATGCAGTCGAGCGAATAATTCGGCAATGAGCAAAAAAAACGGGAGACGACTTGCTAGAAAATATTTCTTTACGGAAGGCGAGATCTCCTGTAACATGTCTAGATATGTCACCTCATTTATTTCACCCCCCGGAAAAACAAAAGGAATACACTAACATAAATACAATAACTTCAAAATTCCAGAGATGCATAAGCACGATAACAGAAATCTTCTGTTTTCTACAAAGACTAGTTTTTTTTTTTTTTTTTTTTGGTCCATACTACAAGGGTGTTTCACGCATGAGCGAAAATCATTTAAGTCTTCATTTGGAAAAGGGTCAGCGAGGAGGTAAACATATTTTTTTCAGTCAGAACCATGAGCAGTACTGCTCAATTTTTGAACGAAATAGGACTCAGAAAACGAACGCACATACATACCTACAGATTATTCATTACTTAATAATTAAAGAAAATCAAAAATATATATTCGAGAATATATTGTTGCCAAGCGACGTTGCATAAGATCTTCTATTTAACATCGATATTCTAAAATTGTGCTGCTCATCAGTATAAGAAAATAAATCATTTATAAAGTTATTTTATTTGTGCTTCTTAATAACATTTTTCATAAACTTGTAGAGTCATTAGGTTATTTCGAAAGAAGAGTATAGGAAAAAAGAGCGATACTCTCGCCGAGACTCGAACCATGGACCTCTCGAAGATGCCCCGAGCGTGCTGATTACTACACCACGAAGGCATGCTAAGATACTGCGATATACTGTATTGTATTGTACTGGGTTTCTATTGCCTGAGCAATACTTCCCAGTCATGCAAAGAGTTCCATGCGGAGCGTGGTATTAGAAAATTCCTGATTGAGTTTCCTCTAAGGGGAGAAATAACAGGGAGAAAAGGGAATACGGCGCAATTTTCGCCTGGGCTTAAGAAGGCGGGAGAAATACCTTATAAACTGTTACACTCTAAATCAACTGATATCAATTGTTATACTTTGTGTAGTAAACAAAGATCTTTTTCTAGTCCAATGCCACAATTTACTAGGTCACACAGATGAAAAGGGCCTGACAGTATAACATAACGTAGTGCAATACCTAAAGAATTTGAAAAAATTCGACTAAAGACATCTGTAACATAAAAATAAGTAGTGATTATTATATTTTAGAAAGCGTTTCAAAATACTTTAAAAGGGTACTGAGTGTTACCACTAAAAACTAAACTAAACTCGGCGGCACAAACACCCTTTAGATAGCCATGGCCGGCCGTGACCTGATATCTGCTTTCTAGACCGTGGTCTCAGACTTGCTTGTGCATCTTACCCTGGACAAGTCGTCAGCTTGTCGCAGGACTACCGGTGTTTAGTCCCCAAGTGAACTTTGTACTCATTTTATCGACCCACTCCAGGGATGAAAAGCCAAGTCAACTTTGCCCAGCCCGGGGATCGAACCTCCGACGTGTGGTGCTGCTGTGAAACGCGTTAGTCACTGCGCCACCAGGCCTAGTGCTACGACTACAATTAGCAAAATTTGCTAATTGTAGTAATCGAGTAGATGATAAATATCTCGATAGCGAAACTTCACGTGAAATGCCCTGAAATTTAGACTTTTATAAATAGCAAAATAGAGATTAATTAACTCAATTTGAAAAGGATTCCTTAAAATTTTAGATATAATTAATACAACAAGTGTTAATTATGAATGTAATTCATACTTAAGCATTAATTATACGTAAAACAATCATTAATAATTCAGCTTTCATTAATACTCATTATTAATTTAGCTGTAATTAATAGTGACCCTTAATACACATAATAAAAATAATAATTTAGAATAACGTTAATAAATATATTAGGAACAATTTTTAAAGATTAATTTCAAATTTTTTCCTTTTTTTTTTTTTAACTTTTAAAATGAAACTAGAAGTATGAACCAAATTTTTTCTATAGTTTCATTGAGAATTACGTAAATTTTATATTTAAAAAATAAACTTTGACAGAGCATCGCAGAAACTTAAACTAAACATTTTCTGAGAAACTAAAACATAAACTAAACATGCTGTTGAGAGGAGCAATTCAAATCGAAAAGAATCCGCTAATGATAGTAATCCGCTCCGTTGGCACAACTTCGCATAAATAACAGTGGAACTGTTTTGGGAATTTGGCGCTATCATTTGGCGACGCATAGTTGACTCCACTGCGTACTGTCATGGGCAACCCTTGCGGTCGCCTTACTGCGAGGTGGAGGATCCCTGTTACGCGATCAGTATCGGAGCGAAAGTGGCTTTTGCAGCACTCCCCGTCGAGCAGTGTTTCGGGAGCCAGAAAACTTTCTCTTTTCCTCTCAGGAACATCAATGTGATTATTCCACCGATTCTTCTCTACGGAGGCCACGCGCCAAAAGAGCTCATTCCACCGTTGCCCGAAGTTGAATGCAAAATGGCGTCCGATTAAATAATGAAGTCCTGTTTCTGTTTACCCAGTGACAACCAGCATAATGGACGAGTTGGACTTCAAATGATGTCTGGTAAACGGAGTGATCAAGATTGAGAAAATACTTGGCTAAAGGATGCGAATTTGTCTCGAGGAGCTATTCCATGCGGTTCGGGAGGCACACGTTCTATTGCGGAAGAGAGAGGAAAAAACTGATATGATTCTTAAAATAGCAGACGATGTCAGTCAGAGAATGATTAGTAAAGAGAATCAACATTGGCGGGAAATATAAATAACGAGAAAAAGAGATATAAATAAGAAAAATAATGCTTAACAGATATTGTTCAAAAGCGATGATTTATCCCCTAATGCAGAATTAAAGAAGTTCATGGACTGCTAATAGTATTTAATAAGTTTGGTACAATTCGTATTTTATGAAATCATTGACTGCTCTATTCTTTGAAAGAAATTAGTGATGGATGCTTTTCTTGGATTCATGTAGTTCAATATCTTTCTAGGACCATACAGCAAAACAATACTCTTATTATTATTTTTTTTAATCTGTTACCAATGGAATATTTAAAACAACTTTGTTCAGCAACTCTTCAGTTACTTTTATAGAAGATTTTTCAGAAAGTTTAATAAATAGAATAAATTTATAAACTAAAATTCGAAAAGCTAATATTTGAAATCACCTCGAAAAGAACTCATGACCAAAAGAAAATATTTTCTACCGAGTAATATTCTTTTCGAATTGCTGAGTATTGAGAAATACCCTTGGTTTCTATTGTCAAAAAGTTTTTCAGGGTAAAAATTCTTCAGATTTAAAAAAAAAAAAAAAAGCATATTTTGTTCTTCAGAACGGAAAAATTGAATAACACAAAAATTTAATACTCGATTGTGGCAACAGGTGTCTGAAGCTATAAAAGTTTGAGCTCGGCAATTTTATAAACATATGTACGAATATTGTTGCATCTATCTTTTTGGGAACTGGCAACATGATACGCAATATTACTTATTAAAAAAGTGTATTCGAAGAACCGTGAATACTTACTAAAAAATTAGAGCATAGCCATCAGTTTGGTCGACGCAGAAATCTTTTAACAGAAGTATATCAGCGCATTCATCTACTCTCCCCCTGCTTCCCCCTTCTTTCGGAAGAATAGATATCTCTAAAAAACTTCAGCAGAATATTCGCGAGTGACGTCACCGCAAGTTGAAAGATGACGTGTGCAACTCCTCGCCCAATCGGAGGCCGGCCAGCAATTTCATTATGTTAATAAGCGCGGTCGCAAATTGATAATCATAGCAGCGTCATTTAGCGCATGCGTATAGTCATCTTACTGTCAGGGGGGTGTCAGTTCACTGGATCGGACATCAGCTAGCTTATAGTAAGCAGCCGATATGGCTAGGCGCAAGCAGCCGCGGCCCAAACACTTGGAAAATTCCGAAGAAATAGCAACATCTCTTCAAAACGGTGAGTCACCTTATTATTTATGTTGCATAACATGTGCCTATTTTTAAGAATTCGGGTTTTTAACTAATTGAACTTGAATATAATTTCACCGTGACAAATACAATATTAAAATGCGTATTAATATTATCAGGTGTAGTTGAAACGTTCAGGTTTCAATAAAAATATTTCGCTTATAATATTTTTAAGCATGAGCAGTAAACTAAAAACGTTTTTAGTCTTATAATCTAGTCTCCAAGAAATGTTTTGAATGATATAATGTGTGTTTTGTTTATTATCGACGGATGCTCACGAGTTGTTGAGGAAATGAGGCCTAGAAATTTAATGGATTTCATTCGCATCTTGATTTCGAATAATTGAGCTTTTATCGGCGACATAAAACATTTTATATTTTTCAATTTTGTATTTTATTAATTCGTGTATTAATTCATTTTTTATACTTAGCTTATTTTATTGATAATTTTCAGTTCACTTATTTTTATTTAAAGCAAAATTTTTTCAGTTAAGTTTTTATTATTGTCTTTCAATAATTATTTGCGAATTTAAATCATTCCTAATATTGGCACCGAAATATTTTTGGGATCTCTATAGGTAGTCAAAATTTGAATCCTAATTTAATAGATGTTGCAATTTTTTAAAAGCTTTTCGGTGGAGGACTGCTTTTATTGTTAACAGGGGATACTATTATGACTTAATATTTATAATTTTAAGGAAAAAATGGTAGTATATTTGGAATTTTTTACTTAAAATTAAAAACAAGAACATTTTTCTCATTAACTTCAAAGGAAATTCTCAAATGTCTGCAAAATTATTTTACAAGATGAAGATATTGCGGCAAGGTATTTTTGTTTAGCTTTTATTAGTTTACTTAGATACTGAATTTATTAGTTTTTGAATAAAGTAATGAAATATTTTTATTTTATAAATATTTCCGCAAGTATTCTGGAAATTTAAATTGGCAAAATTTGGTAAAATATTTAATTAATTTTAATGCATGATATTTTCAGTTTGAGCGTCTTTGTATGAATTACGGCGAAAATATTTTACGTCATTTTATTTTCTGCGTGAATTTTTACAACATGAAAGAAAAAAAGAATTTTTTTCCTCTTTTACCGTGAGGTTAAATTTGTTTGCTATTTTTGGACTAATGATTTAATAAAAGGGAAGTAAGGACATTAGTCGGACATTTTTTATTTTTCAAATACGTTGATGGATTTGACTTTAAGAATACGCATTGCTAATATCTTTTGAAATCAGGCAACTGAAATATACATTAGAAATGATAATTCATTTTCCCCCTCGCAGTTAAAAATACTTTGTCTATTAATAAACTGTTTTTATATTTATTTGATGCTTAATAAATTTTTAATTAAGCATCAAAATAAAAGCTCAAATTCATTTAATATTTTATACTATTTTAAAACATATATTTTAATAATTATTAATAAACGAAAAAATAAAATATATATTTTATTTCATTTTGTTGCTTGAATTATTATCTATAAGCAGCATTTATCAAAACAATCTGCCAATGATAATAGCCCTATTATGATACGAACTTAATTTTTTTCTTCCCAGTGCACAAAAATTGGCAAAATGTTAGACGCATATCTGTACAGACATTAGGTTAATTTTGGAAGCCGGAAAGATGAAAAATTAGCAACTGCCTTCGCCGGGAATCGAACCACGGACCTCTGGAATACCGGCCCCGCGTGCAGAACCACTACACCACGAAGCCACGCTAGGAAGGCGGGAAAAATACCTTATAAAGGAATAGTTATAAGACAAATATATCAAGATATTTAGTCTATTTATCATAAGAGTAAATATTTAATACGTGATTTCAAGCAATATGCTTGTTATCAAATTTCAGATATTTTAAATGCGAGGAATAAAGTGCAACGCTTTCAAAAGGGGAATTTTTCTTAAATTAATATAGATGAACATTGAAATGAAATATAAAGCAATAAACAGAGAAAGAATACCTTTCTGTTAATTAGGTAATATTTACCACGTAGTGCAAATGTGACACGAAGCGTTAGCTTAAATAGCGGACGACATGGTATTTTAGTATTGAATACTCTTTCAGTTAATCGGAGTTTTTACGCATAAACGTTCTTACCATTATGGTCATCGCACGTGACCTAGTAAGCGGCGCATCTTCACAGGCCGGAAATAAAAGATGTTAAAATTTTATTTTGAAATTTCTTGAAATAATTATCCCTGCTCATTTATATTTCTCCTTTGCTTTTTTTTTTTTTTTTTTTCCTTTCCGTCTCTTTCTTCTCATACCTCATTAGCAAGATCGAAGAAGTTGAGCTTTCTGTGTACAATAAATAATGACTGTCTTTTTGAATACAAGTTACACTGCTCTTCAAAAACAAGAATGAACTAAATGGGTTTGGCTATATTCAGATTTCTTATTTTGAGCATGTCAGTTTCAATTCGAATTCTCAAGCTAAAGATTAAAAGAAATATAGTGTTTCCTGGCTTAAAATTTTTATGAACTATAATTAAAGCTCTTTTATTTAGATTTAAACGTAAACTTTCTTTAAACATAATTTTAAAAAAAAAAAAAAAAAAAGTCTTTTTCTTTTTAGCTCAAAGTAAGGTCTATTAATTTTGTTTTGCGTCGTCCACTATAAAATAGCCTTTCACTTTTCAAAGCTGTTGCCACCAAATAGTACAGCCCTGCATTATATTTTAAAAAATTAAATAATGAAGAATATTCATGAATGTATGTATGTTTCTCGGACTGTGAAAGAACAGTGGTACCTAGAGACGTCAAATTTTGAACAACGCAGACCTCCACTCGAATATGAGCATCAGGAAGCCCAAATTTGGAATTTGTTTTATTACCTATTTCATATTTTGTAACACTTTAACGAGTTTTTGATTAGCAAACTCAACGATTTCAAAGCGAGCCATGGCAACACTATGCGGGAGGAAAAAATTATCTCTAGCGGGCGAGCGAGACTGTGCATCGGAAATTCTAAAGATATGGTATTTTTAAATATTTTGTGATATTACTGTTGAGCTGAATTTCATGGTTTAAGTGCGATGAACAAGATGTTTAATAAATAAAGGTGACACACAAAACGTTAAAAATAGCCCCTTTGGGCGTAATATAAAATCTGAAAGCTTTCAGATTTTTATTTTTCATTTAATTATTACTAAATAGAAATCCTATTTTATCGACGCACAATCTGATCTTTCGGTCAATACCATTATGACTTCAGGATACGAATATCGCTGATGTCACAACCTTGAGATCAACGCGTGTTTCGATCACAGTTAATAATTTTTTTTAAAGTTTCATAGTAGTGCTGTATGTTACAGTGCTTATGTAACTGATAATAATAATTGATTCCTTGCTATGTTATGCTAAAAAATTTTATTTAAGCAATACTGCTGTTTTTTTTTTAAAAGTCATTTTATTTTCAAAAATAGTGGATAATGCTCTCTTTTAAATATCGATTTCGGAGTAACCGGTATTTGTATTAATCGAAGTACTTCTTAGGCACCTTTAGGGAAATACGGGCAAGGCATACGAGAGCTATCAGCGTAAGAGAAGAGATGCTTTCGTTGGGTTCATATTACCTAGAAAAAAAAAAAAAAAAAAAAAAAAAAACCATTTGCCTGGATCTGAAGCTAGGTGGAACCGTATGAGTAATCAGAGGTTTGAATTACTCAGAGTCAAACTCATCAAATATTTCTCAGTTTACTGGAAATATATTGCAGCAATATGGTATAATTTGACGTTTACATGGCAGTTTCCCATTATTCCTTTTTAAAAATTTCAACCCAATGTACAAGAATGAAAGTATTTAAGAGTAGTTTAAGGAAATTTATAATATCAATTTTTATTGAATTCGCTAAGTTAATTGTGCTATGTAAGTAGTATGTGCTTATTTTTCTTTTTTTGTAAATATTAAAGAGGTATTAATTTTCACATTTTCCTAAATCGCGTTATTTCTTAAATTTAGCTTCATTTTTACATTATTATTTTCTATTGAAGCGAGTATTAGAGTCGAGTGAAGTTATTATAAAAATAAGAAGGCTCTGTTTGATTTATTTCAGTATAAGCTACAGAACTTGAACGTGCTGACCTTTAAATTAAATTAAATTTATTTATAACTCCGAAAGAGGATTCTATTTCGTACTAAAAAATCTAGTTTTGATCTGAATTAGGATAAAACAGTAACGGTCCCCGCTATCCAGTATCTTTCCCTTACCTTTTAAATTATATCGATGCTCATCGGTGCAACACTATACCTTCTTAAGAATACTTTTCAATGGTGATGAGACCATTTATAAAACGTTTGGTATTTAAATCGCATATTACACGCAGTTTTATTGTTATTTGCAAATAGAATGAGAAAAGATTTATGCATTTCAATTATTTCAAGCAAACTTTAACTAATAATAACAACTAACTAAACTACATCTTTATATTGCTAAATAAAATTAATCTCTAAAAACGCATGTCAATTAATGAAAGGTAACACACAAAACGTTAAAAATAGTCCCTTTGGCGTAATATAAAATCTGAAAGCTTTATATTGAATCTGAAAGCTTTTATATATATTTATATTTACTCCCTTTCATTATCAGTATTATTTATTATTATAAATGGTTACGAATAAGAAAATATAAAAAAATTTAAAAGTTTAAAAAATTACCGTTTGATTAAATTTGGAAAAGAAATACACCTATAAGAATTTCAGTTATAAATTTTGCAATCAAAGTATGACAATGTATTAGAAACCTATTTCATTCATAACGCATATTTTATTTATTACGCATGTATAACACTTGTTGCAGTTTTGCTAATAAATACAAATAAAATTACTTTTTAAATCGCTTACTTTGCTGTGCTTACGAGCAACTCGCTTTGATAACATATAAATACAAGAGCATGGGCTGTCGTCGCCTGACAACCATACTTCTGATCTTTATTTGCTGGGGATAAAAAACGTTAAGTGAAAACGATGATATTTTTC